TGTGCAAGATACTTGGTTCAACCCCAAGCACCACAAAAAAAGGAAAGGATGAAAGGAAGGAATGGAGGAAGGGAAGGTGGGGGAGAAGGAGGGAGGAAGGGAAAAAGCCCATTGCCAGATAGGACTGTACAGGTTTGAATAAGCACACATACTAATTCCATATCCTCTAAACTTTGTGAATAATTTTACAGCCAAGGAAAGAAAGCCAGAAATTGTGATGAAAAATTCTGAAATAATTGCTTTAAATAATTCCTACTCTTCATAGTAGCTCGGGATGAAAAGTTTCAGCATGCAGAGAATCTTCATGGTCTCATATAACATAAAGGACACCCCCACCCCCACAAAACCAAAACAGTACATAAACAAAAAACAGGAAAAAACAAAAACAAACAAACAATAGAGTCTGAGGACATTCCTAAGTGGATAAAAACACTAAAGGTCTGTATTTGATCCCTGGAACCCATCCACATAAACAGCCAGATGTAGTGGAATGCACCTGTAATCCCAGCATTCCTATGTCGAGATAGGAGGCAAGGGAAAAGAGAATCAGCCCGAAGATCCTGGGCCAGCTAGATGGAGTAGCATCATAGTAGCAGAAACACCAAGAGACCCTTCCTCAAAAAAAAAAAAAAAAAGGGTGGAAGAAGTGAATTGACTCTGGATAAGTTTTCTTCTTACCTGTATGTATGGAGACAGGGAGATAGAGATAGACAGACAGACACATACAATGAATGAATGAATGAATATTTTTGAAAATAGACAAAAATTTCCTGGTAGAAATTGGATAATGATTCTTAAATAAAATAGCTATAATACAGAATGTAAAAATTAGAATATTAAAATCTGGGGGCTGGAGAGATGGCTCAGCAGTTAAGAGCACTGATTGCTCTTGCAGAGGACCCAGGTTCGATTCCCAGCACCCACATGGCAGCTACAAACTGTCCTTAACTCCAGTGACAGGGGTATCCGAAGCCCTCTTCTGACTTCCACAGCATTGCACGACATGGGTGCACTCACAGACATGCAGACAATACACTCGTACACATAAAATAAAAATAAATAAAATAGTTTTTTTAAAAAAGAGTATTAAAATCTAAAAATTAAAAAAAAATATAGAGCTGGATGTGGTGGGACATGCCTGTAGTCCAGGCACTTGGGGTGCAGAGGCAGGCAGATCTCTGTGAGTTCGAGGCCACCCTGGTCTACAAAGTGAGTTCCAGGCCAGCTGGGGCCACAGGGAGACCCTGTCTCAAAAAGACAAACAGCCTCAAATGTAGGAATGTTTCCATAATTTACCCCTTTTAAAAGATAAACATGGGTGGAGGAGTAGCTGGAGAGATGGCTCAGCATTTAAGAACCCTGGTTGTTCTTGCAGAAGACCTGGGTTCAAATCCCAGCACCCACATGGCAGCTAACAATTGTCCGTAACTTCAGTCCCAGAGGATCCTATGACCTCTTCTGTCCTCCGTGGGCATTGCACAACACGGGTGCACTTACCTACATGCAGGCATAGCACTCATACACATAAAATAATAAATAAAATATTTAAAAAAAAGATAAACAGGGCTGGAGAGATGGCTGAGATGGCTCAGCGGTTAAGAGCATTGCCTGCTCTTGCAGAGGGCGGGCTTTGATTCCCAGCTCCCACATGGCAGCTAACAACCATCAGTATCTCCGGTTCTAGGGGATTTGACACATTCTTCTGACCTCCGTGGGCACTGCATGACACGGATGCACTTACATACATAAAGGCAATACACTCATACCCATAAAAATAATAAAATATTTTTAAAAGATAAAACTTCAGGTTTGTAAAGGTGAAATACTTATTAGAAGGCAATACAGTCAGTAGGTGGCAGACTTGAGTCACCAAGTCAGATGCTCCTCTCAAAGGTTTGAGAAAGACATTCAGAACTTTTTTTCCTACTTTTATTTTATTGAAGTATACGTGACAAAATTCTATGTATTTAAGATGTAAAGAGACTATGGCTCAGTGCCAGAGCACTTGCTTAGCATGCCTGAAGTCTGTGGATTAAATTCTTAGCAACTCAGATACAGTGCTATGAATTTGGAGCTGGGGATGTAGGACAGTGGTATAAAGGTGGCCTAGCACGTCCAAGGCTCTAGGTTTGTCCGCTATCCCCACCTTCCCCCAAAAAGTGTTTATATGAACTTTCATATGCAATTTAGATATCTCCATCAGACTTCAACCACGAGGGAGGGCCACCTTAGTCATTTCCACATAGCCTGTGTCTGTCACATAGTAGGTATTCAGCAGATAACATCTTAATAAATTTGACCCAGTTTCTATAGGATGAAAACATGGTACCATTTCTCCCATTCTATAATTAGAATTATGTGCTAAATTTGGCAAAAAATTATAAATAAAAATTCTACTGAATGCTATCTAAATCCACATTTGAGAACGATGAAAATATATGTCAGCAAAAGTGTTATGAGTAACTTATTTTATTTATTATTATTATTATATTATTATTATTGGTCTTTTTGAGACAGGGTTTCCCTGTAGCCTCAGCTGATCTGGAATTTACTATGTAGGCCAGGCTAGCCTTGAACTCACAGAGATCCACCTGCCTCTGCTGAGATTAAAGGTGTGTGCCACCACGCTGGACAAGAGTAACACATTTTTTAAAAATATATTTTTTAATTTTTTTGAAGAAGTATTTCATCACAAAATATAATTAGTAAGTATAGTGTAAAACAAATCTCAAAAGCTAATCATTTTTTCACTGACAAGATTAAGATGAAAGCTTGTCATCTAATGCTAGAGCCTTCTTAGCATATAACAAGTATTATTCTGAAGTAGTTTTCTGAAAGAGATAAAAGAGGACAGTACCACTTTGACCTAAAAGCCTTTCAACACACCTTATTGTAAATAGTATGGTTTTAATTCTTTAAAACCATATAGAAGGTAACAAATCAATATAATAAAAATCCATTTTAAAGTTCATGTCTCTTATCTAACTTATGAACAGCTTTTAAATCACTTCTTCCTATGTTTTTAAATTATTTTAAAATTTAATTTAGTTTTAAATTTCATGTGTGTGTATTGTCTGCATGTATAAGAGCACCTGGCCATGCAATTTCCAAAGGCCTGAAGAGGGGGACATTAGATCCCCTGGAATTGGAGTTATGGACGGCTGTTAGCTGACATGTGGGTGGGTGCTGGGAACTGAACCCAGGGTCTCTGCAAGAGCAGACAGTGTTCTTAACCATTAAACCATCTCTCCCGTCCCACTTCTTATGTTTTAAATGTGTTCTGTAATGTGACAATCCATTACCACATTCTATCAAGTATTATTTAGCCCCTATTATGGGCTAGAATTCCATATCTACAAACCTAACAAATGAGAAATGCTGCTGTTAACAGTCTTAGGGAGAAAGTAAAAATTAACAAACAAATGGAAGTCAGATAGTGATAAATATTGGGAACAAAAAAATAATGGCATATAGAGCATTTCTTCATTGAGAAAGTGGAGTTCCACAAAGACCTGAAAACAGTCAGAAAGTTCAGATGCAACACATTTGGAAGAGAAAGAGAATGTCAAAGCTGTAAGGCAGGGCATGTGCTTAGGATTTGTGTGTGTGAAGAGGCAGAAGACAGATGCAACAAAATCCAGAAAGTGTAGCGTCATAGGAGCTGCGGTGAGAAATAACTGCAGGGAAGTGGAAGTATGGGGTGGAAACAATTATTCTTTCCAGATGATTCTGAACCCTTTGGCTTTTACTGAGAGAGGTATGAAGCCACTGCAGAGAAGAGACATGGTGTTTTGCTTTGTTTATGAGACAGGTTCAGACTGGTCTGGGACTTACTATGTAGCCTAGGCTGGAAGTCACAATCTTCCTCTCTTCCTGAGTGTTAGTTCTACAGCTATGTCCCACCATGCCTAGTGAAGAAAATTTATCAGTCTAGCCTGCTGTTTTAAATTTTAATTATGTGGGGACTGGGGCGATGGCTCAGTGGTTAAGAGCATTGCCTGCTCTTGCAGAGGACCCAGGTTCGATTCCATATGGTGGTTAACAACCATCCATAACTCCAGTTCCAGGGGATCTGACACCCTCCTCTGACCTCGTTGGACACTGCACGACATGGGTGCATGTAATATGTGCAGGCAATACACTCATACACATAAAATAAGATATAAAAAATGACAATTAAATGGGGGCCAGCAAGATGGCTCAGTGAGTAAAGGCACTTGCCACCATTCCTGACCATCTGAGTTTGATCCCCAGAACCCACATGGTAGAAGGAAAGAACTGACTCCTGGTCTCCTGACTTCCACACATGTGCCATGGTTTGCACCTTTCCTCCAAGAAAATTAAATAAATGTAAAAATTATTTTTAAATTCATTATGTGAAAAGGATTAATACACCATGCACTTAAATGGTGGTGGTACATCAGTCATACTTCCTCTTACTATTGAGAACACAAGAGAGAAACAGAATCCAGGAAGACTGAATTTAGCTTATACTTTAGAGATGTCAGTCATAGGTTGGTTGGATATATTGCTTTAAGCCTCAGGCAAAGCAGAATAAAATGGAAGAGTCCAAACATGTTTTTCTTTTACATGAAAACCAAAACAATCTTTCTGTAGTGTTGTGATGGAACTCGAGGTCTGAAGCATGCAAGTCAATCGTAATACCACTGAGCTACACACACAGCACAGGAGAAATTAAGTATCAAAACACTATCTGTGTCCATTACTCTCCTCTACTCTTTTGCTTTGATGAGGCATAGTAAGGTAAAGACACTATCAGCTTTCCAGATCAAAGCCTGTCTGAATTGGATGCCTTGCCACTATGATAACATTTAGCTCAGCAAAATTCAATGGCCCTCAAATACAGACCAGACACAGAGAAGCAAATCTTCTTTCTCCTACACATTAGTCATCAGATGCCACATTGAGACATTACAAAATATTTTTTAATCGATAGCAATGCATGCACTTTGGGAATGTAGATTAAAAATATACAATGATTAGCACTTTCACAGGTCTTCCCTTAGTCAGTGGGGCCAGGCTTTGGTAGCTAGTCCTGAAAGAAAACCCTTGATTACATCCTTGCCCTGATACTGTACCAGTGGTAGCTTTCACTCAAGGGAACAGAGGAAAAAAAAATATGATAAGCCAATTTGTGAACATGTTTTAAATTGCCAGTATGCTTACCGTTTTTTCATTATTTTCAAAAGCTTCTCTGGCTTCTTCAAATGTACAGACTTCTTCTTTGCATTCACGCTCAATGTTGCCCTGTCTTATTTCTTCAAAGAGCCCATTGGCTCTTGGGTAGCGTTTTAGTACTGAATTGGCTTTTTCTCCTGTGAGGAAAACTAAAAGAAGATATAATAATAAGCATAAAATAGCAACAAAACCCTCATGTGTGAAGTTAACATACAAGAAGAAAACTGCCAGATGCTCTTCAGCAAACACAGGCAACATTCTGAACCCCCTTCGGTGAATCAGGAAGGAAGCAATTCTTAACTCCAATCCAGGACATTTGTTAGCTTCTTCTTGATGTCCTTTAGCTGATGTTGCACTGGGCAGCAACAGTGACATAATTAACCATGTTATATTCAGACTTTAGCACATTCCTGACCACCATGGATGTTTAAATATAGTAATAATGATAGCACTGCTTATATTCATTACTGTAAGTGGATACTCCAAGGCAGTAGGTTGTTGGACAGCAACATCAAAAATCAAAACCCAGTCTCTAGACTATCAGTCTCTGTCTCTCTAACTAAAAATAAATACAACTCCAATTGACCTAATACTATAAACCTAGAGAAACATTACTTAAAAAGTTTTCTAATGTGGTAGAAAGCACATTGCAGATCTTTAAAGATGGTAAAATAAAAACAAATTCCCAAGAAGTTTCTGAAATATGTGAAAATAAAAAGGTTAATTTATCCACAATCCTTCCAGGAAACAACAAACAGTAATTTTGTTTGAAAAACACTAAATTAATTTATAGTATAGTTGCACATCAAGGCACCCAAATTCATGTCATGGTCTTTAAGGAAAAGAAAACTTTTTTCCATAACTCATAGATGCATAGCTTATACACATTCAAAACGCATTTGTGAAACCAAGTGAAATAAATTACATAGTGAGACCATATCTCAGAAAATAAACAGTTGGTTTAAAATGTAGCTCAATGGGAGTACACTTGCCTAGCGTGTGAAGAGCCCTGGGTTCAACTGCTGGTATTGTAAAAACAACAATCAATAATTTTAAAAAACAAGCATAGATTAGCCAATAAATGTGTTTACATATATGGGAGATATATATATATATATATATATGAACTTTCTT